ACAGCTGTGCTTCTTGGAGGTGTTTACCAAGTGACCCAAAGAGTGACTTCAGCATACGAGGGTTAATATTAAACAAGGAGTTAATCAAGACTTTCCCTTGAGGTACCCCCCCCTCCAAATACTGTTAACCACTTGCTGCTGGGTGGTTTGAAAAATGCAGTGCACATAATCGGGACTTTTTCAAGATTTTCAGTTTTCAAAATTCTTCAAAAATTTATTATTTCAATTAACTGACGTTTACACCCACACGAATTACTGTCTGGCAGCCACTCTAGTCTGGAAGACAAAATCTATTGACGCCCGAGTATTTCAGCCAGGCCTGCAGCCTTGTAAAAAGAGCCCAGATTGTGCAGTGTTATGTAACTTTCTTTTGTTTACGAACCTGGCACAGTGCGCTGCTGACCTCTTTTCAATAGGGGCCAGATTAGCAGGCAGCGGTGCTGTGTGGCTCATTGCTGTGGTGGTAGAGTGCTTTTGTCCCCAGTGGTAATCCCCTCGCACTAAATGCCCCAAAACGTGGTATACTGTTTCAAAACAAGGCTGGATTATCTCCACTATTGAGAGTGAAAAATGTCAGTAATGCCCAGCAGCCTGGTTTTTTTGTTTCGAGTACAGTCTTTTGTTACAATGCCCAGTTCCCTTTGTCCGATTTCGGAGACCCTGGCCACGCATATAAACACACGGTGCCCCAAACCGGAGTCCCAGGTAAACCCTCAAGTTTCGTGTACCACCTGTTTAACCATGCATTCACCCCTAAGGTTTGTTACCCACGATGAGGGGGTAAGGAGTTTAAAGCCATCTTCTGGCTACAGGTTGTGGCCCTGGGCAAGTCACTTCAACCCAGCTTGTCTCTCTCTGCATAGGAGTGTAAATGGATACTCATTTTAGCTGGGGAGCACCCTGTTGTGGACCTACATCCAATCCAGGGGGAAGAGACGTGTTCTCAGTCATTTCATGCCAAGGGATCCGGAGATAAGCACTGGCCAGATGAGCCAAAGCGACTCGAAACAGACTTGCTTCTGTTGTTTTTAACTCGTGGCGAGATTAGTTTATTGACTGATGATATGACTCGTGGAAGACTTAACTGAATGGCTTCCCTTTTGATCAGGGCCCAGTTTATTTCATAGAGCTGCCAGGTAGAAAGCGTTGCTCAAGCAATTTAAATCAGCCAAGGACCAGTCAGTAGTTGCGTATATCACTTGGGGTCTTAGCTATTAACCTTCTTTTTTTGTTGAGCAATTTCCTCGCCCAAGCTCAGCTCAGTATGCAGCAGTTCTGTGGCATTGGTCTTTGATATGCTTATCTCACAAACCTATTCTTGTTTGTTTTTAAAGTTGGCCAAAAAGTATCATCCAGACAGGAACAAGGACAACAAAGATGCTGCCAAGAGGTTTGCTGAAATTGCTGAAGCATATGAGGTTTGTGTGATCTGGGTAATTCCAGAAGTTAGGGGTCCATTTTTTTCGTGTCCCTGTCACATCTGACATGTGATTTTGGAAGTTCAGAGCACATTTTCTAATTTCCAAGAGTGATGAATTCAATCAAATTACCTGCCAAACAAATAGTAATAGTTTGAAATCAAGTCTGGTGATATTTCCATATCAAATAACAAAGGTCAGATGCAACAGAGACACAAAATTAGAATTAGAATTTCAAAAAAAAGGGTTTTTCCCCAAATGTAGGTTTCATTGAAAAAGACAACGTCCTCAATTACTGAACTCTGAAAGTGAAAGTAGATTCGGTTTTAGCTCTTTTTTTACTGCACACAAAAGCAATTATTTTTGAGTTGATACCTTGATGTTGTGACTTGGCAATGAGCAGGTTTTGGGTGACGAGGCACGAAGGCGGGAATACGACACCGTGGGTGCATCAGGCTTTGGTGGGGGTGGCTTCCAGCAAGGCCAGTGGCAGGGCCAACAAATGGATCCCGAGGAGCTCTTCAGGAAGATCTTTGGCAATGCGGGCTTTGGCATGGGAACTGGAGGGGATTCACCCTTTGGGGACTCCATCTTTGGCGGATTGGACAGGGGCCACGAGGTAGGCATCACATTGAACAGTTAACAGAACTTCAGGAATATGCGAGGTTTCATTCAGTCACAAGGAGTTATGTCCATTAAGATCTAAGAGGTTTAAATTTATAAAAGAAGAAATGGTCATATTTATCATTCCTTTTAGATTACCAGGTAGGTTTCATGATGTTATTATGAAAGTTTAAGGGGAACTTCAAGGATCTGTGAAGTTTTATTGTCCAGCAGTCATATTCACTAATACCGAAGAGGTTTAAGATGTATCAAAACGTTAGAGGGCTTAGCAGAATCTTTCCCGAGGTAAGAGTTTAACGGTGTTGTGTGATGTGAAGAGCATGTCAGTGGTTGAGAGTGTTGGCAGGAATTTAAGAACGGAAGACTGCAATGAGATTTTGAAGGCTATAAATGAGTGTTGTGGAATTTTCCAAGTCATCAGAGGTTTAGTAAGGGAAGGATATTATGGTTTTAGGGATGACAAAATGTATTTCAGTTGGATGCATGTAACTCTGGAGAGTTAGGTTTTAAGGCTAAACGATTATGAAGATAATGAGACTTTGGAGAAAGTTAAGAGGTTTGAAAGATTGTGAGGAGGAATTACAAGGAAGAGACTATTTAGATATCAAAAATATTGGAAAGCGGAAAAGACTGAAGTTGAAGGTGTCAGCTGGATATGTTGTTTGAGAAGTTTAGGACACTTGAGAGATTTAGAAGATCTTAAAGGTATGTGATGTTACAATATTCTGGGATACATCAGAAAATTGGTTTAAAAGAAAATAAAATTGAGAAGTATTGGGAGGGTTTTGGAGATTTAAAGAGATAATGAGGTTTTAGAAATTTGTTGTTTTATTTTTGCAGTTGACTCAGAAATCTGTGTATGTTTGCCTTGCCTTGCCTCGTTTGACATTGTCTCAGGTGATGATGGACTTGACGTTCAGCGAGGCGGCGAGGGGGGTCAACAAGGATGTGACGGTGACCATGGAGGACACATGTGAGAGGTGTAAGGGGAATCGGGCAGAACCGGGTACCAAGACAACCAAGTGTCACCGGTGTAATGGCACTGGGCAGGTAGGAGGAACGGTCCTTCGAAGTATTGTGTCGTATACTCTGGCATTGCTGCTGATTCCATACAGTAACGGTTGACCATGATTTGACTCAAGCTGTGCATGGAATGTCCGTTAAACAATGGTTTAGTGGGATTTTGTTGGTTATTTTATGTCTGTTGGTGTTACGTTACCTTTTGAGCTGCCGCCGTTGGTCATTTTGATTTTTGTATATCAATCCACGAAGTAATAGACAATTCATAAATTAAAACTTAATTTAGGCGTGAGGTCAAATACAAATGCTTTTGAAAGCGTGCAATGCTTTGTAAACGCTAAGCCCCACCGACGGTCACCATCGAACAGACGAACGCTTCAATGAGGCTGGCCAAACCGTTGCGGTCGAGTACACCGTGCACTCTGCAGCTTCCAGTAAACAATGGACAGCTCATCGCATTACCGCATCATAGACTTTTGCGGTCTGGTGGATGAGTCATAACAATAGCTCTTTACTTTGCAGCTCCGCCGGAGGATTTAGATCGGCAGACTGTTTTTATTTCCTGATAAAACATGTGTATTGAGTAGTTGCGCTGTCGGTTTCCAGACCCAGTCTTCTCAGGTCTCAATACCCTGTAATCTTGATATTTTGTCTCGGTATCGTGAGTTAAATACACACCTAACTGTATACCTGCAGAATCGAATATACTAACTCGAAATAGTATTTACCTGAATCATTCACGACGTAGTGTTCTGTTCGCCAACATGTAGTTATCAGATAAAACCTCTTTTTTTTGCCCGTGTGCACAAGCTGGGACTCAGCATTGCGCACTCGCAGGTTTTCATGTGTAGGATCGAGGAAGACACGTACGCGAACTACGCACTTTCACTTTGCGGCTGCATCTGCACGATTTGAGGATACATGTTTTTCCTTGAAGTCAGTAGTACATGCGTGCACATTGCAATATGTTTTATATGTGGGATTCTTTTGTACTCTTTGTATACTTTGTGGCTGCACAAAATTCATGTTGGAAAACAAACATGTCGGGTTTTATACTAATCTCTGGTGTTTGACTTTACCTATTAAACTTTAATGCACAGTAAATTAAAACAATAAACACAATTTAATCTAGTGCTGCAGGCGAACCGCTGAACTGAGGCAAAAATCATCAAACAAGGCACTTTTGAACTGAACCAAATTGTTCGGTTTGGATGTACGGCTTTAATAAGGCATTTCATCGATGGCACGCGGGAACACATACAAAAATACAAGAAAACTTAATAAAAAACAAACACAATGAAAAATGGATAACGAGTTGTACAGCGTGCTCCACACGTGCGTGAACATACTGAAACTTACAATGGCCCGCATCATGAGATGGTTGTGAAAAGCATGTGGTGAGAATCACTCAGAAATCAGCCAAGAACATGCAACGTAAGGCATTGTCGTTGCATAACATTTCTAAATTCTAACTACATCCAATCGTGCTGNCAAACTACACGCTTTCTATTTCTCGGCTGCACCCGCACGATTTAAGGATACATGTTTTCTCTTGAAGTCAGTAGTACATGTGTGCACTTTGCAATATGTTTTATACGTACGATTCTTTTGTACTCTTTGTATACTTTGTGGCTGGACAAAATTCATGTTGGAAAACAAACATGTCGGGTTTTATACTAATCTCTGGTGTTTGACTTTACCTATGAAACTTTAATGCACAGTAAATTAAAACAATAAACACAATTTAATCTAGTGCTGCAGGCGAACCGCTGAACTGAGGCAAAAATCATAGAACAAAGCACTTTCGAACTGAACCAAATTGTTCGGTTTGGATGTACGGCTTTAATAAGGCATTTCATTGATGGCACGCGGGAACACATACAAGAAAAGTTAATAAAAAACAAACACAAAGAAAAATGGATAACGAGTTGTACAGCGTGCTCCACACCTGCGTGAACATACTAAAACTTGCAATGGCCCGCATCATGAGATGGTTGTGAAAAGCATGTGGTGAGAATCACTCAGAAATCAACCAAGAACATGCAACGTAAGGCATTGTCGCTGCATAACATTTCAAAGTTCTCACTACATCCAATCGTGCTGATGTATATTCAGATTTATTATTATATTTACCAATCTCCTATAGCCGCGCCCATTCGTTCCATACCTTGACACATACTTGCAGCACTATTACGCTTTGTAAACGCTAAGCCCCACTGACGGTCAACATCGAACAGACGAACGTTTCAATGAGGCTGGCCAAACCGTTGCGGTCGAGTACACTGTGCACTCTGCAGCTTCCAGTAAACAATGAACAGCTCATCGCATTACCGCATCATAGACTTTTGCGGTCTGGTGGATGAGTCAATAGCTCTTTACTTTGCAGCTCCGCTGGAGGATTTAGATCGGCAGACTGTTTTTATTTCCTGATAAAACATGTGTATTGAGTAGTTGCGCTG